AGTTATTGAATGGCGAATTTGTGTTCTAACATCACCAATGCCTGACACTTCCTGGTTTATTCGCTCAAATGGTAATTGAAGTTGCTTTGCCATCTTTTCAGTGATAAAACTTATCTCTGAACAAGAGTCCAGTAATGCTCGTATAGGTTGGTATAAACCGTATTTATCCTTAATAAGTACTACAGCTGTGGGAATCAATGATCGTTGTTTAGTACGCGATACTAGAGAAATTGATGGAGATTGCGGAAAATTTAGTTGTCCAGGTGGACTGTCTGACAAATTTGGTCTCACATTTTGCTCGATGGGTTTGAATTTATGCAAACACGTATGATGCATACCATTGCATATTCGACAGCGAGCTGTAGATTGACAATTTTTAACGACGTGCCCTTTGCGTAGACAATTTAAGCAAACAGAAAGATCTTTTACGAATTTGAATTTGTCGTTAAAAGTCAGTTTTACAAACGATGGACATGATCCTAGGCTGTGGTCTCCTCCATTACACTTCATACAATTGATTTTGGTGTTAACAAATGTGGTCAATTTTCTGTTAAAAGAATTATTTTTGGTATCATTTACTTTATCATTATTGCATCTTTTCGAATTGCTTTCCAGAAATTGACATCTTCGACTCAAAAGTGTGTAGCAACTTTCCCAAGATGGCAATGACTCAAAATCTTGCTGAGAATCATAAAAAATTTTAGTTTCGTTATCCACTTTAGACAATACTAAATGAATAACTATGGCGTTCAGAATGTCTGCTTCCGAACCCAACGATAGAAGTGAACAGAATAAAGCAGACACTGTATCTACAATATGCCTGAGTGTGATTGAGTCGCCCTTCGTCATATCTTTAATAAAAAAAAGGGAATTAATATGTTCCATAAAAATTAAGACCTTTTTGTCATATCTCAATTGTAATTGCGTTAGAGCCTTTGTATAATTTTCCTCGGTTATTTAAAATGGTTGTACTACGCTCAACGCCGCACCCGAAAGACAACTTAAAAGATAATTAAATTTATCAATTGTTGTTATCGACGGGTCGTTGTGAATTAAATTTGTAAACGCAGAGAAAAAACGTTTATATTCGCTGTATTTACCATCAAATCTTGGCAATTTCAATGCTGGTAAACGACTATGATGTGAGGAGTTGTTTAAAATCGACGAATTCAATACACTTGATTCATGTATCGGCCTTATTTTTTGATTGTTGATTGCGGCCACAATAAGTGATTTTATGCTGACATATATGTCCTCTAATTTGCTACGCCTATCATCATCCGGACATGCTCGTTCAATTTTATTTTGTATTTGACAAACTTCTGTAAAATACGATTCCAAAATTTGCAGTCGACATTCTAAAATGTTAACATCCACAAACGCTAATTCCTTCTCTACCTTCGCCTTTATGCTTAGCATGTTTCGTTCCACTGATGTTCGCTCTTGTTTTAGTGAAGAGAGTTGCTCAGTTACTGAGTCATTTTTTCGACGAGTCATTTTTGCAAGTAAAACAATAAGTATAATTAATTTCCAAAAGAGTGTGATGATATGCACGCAATTGAGTCGAGTGTGTTTAAAAACCGCTGAATACGAATTTCACTCAAATGCACATGTGCTTGGGTACAAAGTCCGAATAGCGAACTGTTCAAAGTGCCGCTTTTTCAACCAAATAAACAATTAAGACAGCTCTCGATGCCGCCCGTCCTGTCACGGTCGCCAAAAATGTTGGAGATTGTTGGTCGCACAGCACGAATCTGCAGACCACCAAAGCACCAAACCAAGTTCGATAAATTTCAAATAATAATTTATTTGCACAACGAATAATTTAGTTCGATAAACTTCAAATAATAATTTATTTGCACAACAAATAATTTAGTTCAATATTAATTCAACGTAATAATTTATTTATTGAATAATACAAGCAACTATGTATAACAAATACAAAGAGAAAAACAACCGCCACCGATTTGACATCTGATCATGCTGCGATCTTAAGCACAACTACTCTCCAAGCGAAATTGCAAAAAGTACAAGAGCGCATTACGTGCGAGATGCGCTTTTTTGATTCTCTTGATTTCCTACAACAGTAATTCTGCTCCATGACAATGCACCTGCACACAAAGCAAAACGGGTTCAGGATGCAATCAAAACACTTGACTGGGAGCTGCTACCCCACCCGCCGTATTCACCAGACTTGGCTCCTTCCGACTACCATTTGTTTTCATCGATGGGACACGCATTGGCTGAGCAGCACTTTGATTCCTACGAGGAGGCGAAAATTGGGTGTCTGGTTGGTTTGCTTTAAAAGACGAACAATTTTTTTGGCGTGGTATCCACAAATTGCCAGAAAGGTGTTCAAAATGTGTAGAAAGCAATGGCCAATACTTTGAATAAAATGTTTTTTACTTTCCTATTAATAATTAGTGTTTTATTTTCACCAAAAAACGCTAATTTCATACCAGTACACCTAATACACAAACAAATTTCGCATTTCACAAAGTAAGAGAAAAGTAGGAGAAAAAATTCTCATGTGTATATACGCGCATAAAGGGATGAGTATATTTGTTGTTTTATCTGGGGCGTGTTTAAAAAATTGTTGAAAAATTTGATCAACGCGCGATGCTGTCTAAGGGGCCCTTAAAGCGCAGTGCAGACTATCATTTTTGTGTCTCACACAACTTGCGCTCTCTCTTGCTCAAATTTCTTCTAGCGACCAAATTTGAACATGTATGACACGCAAGAGTCGCCATTCACGCAAAATTTTTGAAGAGTGAGGGTGCTTTTCGCACGCTGTGTGAAATTTATAGTAAAATTTTAATATTGAAAACATGAATAGTCAACATCTTAAGAAATTTTCCATAAATAGACAATTCAAATAATAAAACAATATACATATATTCATTGTTTTTCAAGACATTTGATAATTTTCATATTTTTGTTAGTTTCAGGTTATTAACATTTAAAATTCTTTTATATTAATAACAAGTTTCAACAAAGAAAAGCATATTTAGAATACAACGTATTATATCTTAAATTGAGGTTATTAATTAATTGTTATTACGACTAATTTTCAATACGTTTTTTTTTACTGGGCTTAGATCGTTAATTCAACGATTTTCATATTTAGATGTTTTTTTAAATAAAAATTACTTATAATCATCGTTTATAAGTTAGTGTTAAATATTTAATTGTATTCTAATTTTTTATAAGAATTTTGTATAAAAATTTATATTGTTTTAATTAAAATTTAATTAAATATTTACCCCAAATTTATAAATGTAATTTTAATAATAATAAAGAATAATAATAAAAATAATAAATACATTAATAATAAAATAATAAAAACACGTATTAAATTTATATTACAATTCTACATATATCGTCTGCTTACGATAAATTTGTAAGGTAAAAATGCTATTATATGACGTATGAATTTTTTGGGGTGACAGACTATCATGCGCTATCATGACAGACTATCATTTGGTGAGCACGCCAACATGTTGGTGCTGTGTCATTCAAAGGTGCAGACTATCATACTTGTGTGTCACACAACGTCTTTTTGTCTCGTATGACACACAAAAATGATAGTCTGCATCGCTCTTTATTTAACAAATAAATGGTGAAGCTTGAAATAAAAATAAAAATGAAGCTTGAGTATTTGGTATTTATGCAATTTCTGAGAGTGTATTTGTGATTTTGTGTCGTGCTCATTGAAATCTTCATTTTATATAAAATCTTTTTTGCTACCAACCAATCCAATTGTACACACGACATATTTTGCTATATAAAAAACCTAGTTCTTTTAGATAAACGGCAACAAAAGTTTTTTTACTTTCACTGTTATTTTGCACACCTATTTCACGTGTTTACTATTTAAATGCGAAGGTAGATGACACAATATTTTTAAAAAGGCATAGACTTTGGTATTGTAATTTTTTTCTGAAAACACATGTGTCTGACATATGTATGTGCATTGCACTCTTGCAAATTATTTTTAAAGTAATGTGTTATAAAGATAATATTATTAATAAAGCTAATATTATTAATACAGCTAATATTATTAGTTGCACGAATTTTTTAACAAAGGCAAATCACAAGTTTTCATATTTCTGTGTTTTTGTTCGGAGCGGTTTTTTAATTTTGTAAGATTCAACGTTAAGTTTGCGATAAAGTAAATATTTTTGTTTTTATATTATTTATGAAATGAAATGAGTCTGCATACTTACTATTTTTAAAATCCTCGTTTATGAATAATATAATATGAGATATAATAGATATAATAGAATAATAAATATCCTGAAAATTTCCTACCATTAAGTATTTAATTAGATATTTTGTGAGCGGGAATAACGGATCAGCGCAACGCGCAATCTTTTGTTTATTATTCATGACCATGACGGCGTAATAAGGCACTAAGATAGTTTTCGAAAGCTTTGGGTAGAAAGCTTATAAGCTCAAATAAAATTAAAGCAGTATGTGAGTGCACAACTCACATAATTTAAAAATTAAAAAAATTATTGTATAGCTTATGGAGCTTATGGTCGTAAACATCAACATAGTTTTTGATTTGGAAAGCATGGCAGCAGCATAACTAAATACAATTAAATAATAAACCTAGCATTGTCTTCTTGCACTAAAAAATGAAAATGGAAATTTGCTATAAAACTGTAAACTTACCTCTAAGTGAGCAATTTTTTATTGATACTGTTTTGCTTTTTAAATATTTTTAAAGTTATGTTGTAAGTGGATTCTAGCTCTCCGTAAAATTTTTAAACATTTGTTACAGTGAGATTATTTTCTTATCTAAAGTAAAACAAATAAGATTTGATTTCAACTAGTCTCATACGTATTTCTTGAAATACTTGAAATACAGGTAATTACGTCTAATATAATACAGACACAGTACCAGCTATGTAATTTTGAAAGTGCATGTAAAAGAAAAAACAATTCCAAAAAGTGATTTTTAATTACTGTTGTTGACAAAAGCTAAATAGATTCATGCAAAAATTACTGTATCTTATGTCTGGGGTTGTAGATGAACATACATATGTATATTATGATACATTAACAAATGCATATAATTATGTACCAAAAATTTGAACTTTGGTATTAACTTTTAAATTAAATCGCGATTTTCGGATTTTAAATTATTACTTTTATTACATTTTATTTCAATTGCTACAAAACGATTTGCTGTGCATACATGGGGCTTACTTTCACTTTTTATATATAATATATACAAAATTTAATGTTAATATTTTAAGCCAAATTTTGTGTGTTTTTGCGTGCCTAATCGATGTCTTAACTCTTTTGTTTTTTTTTTTTCATATTTTTGACATACTTTCGTTTTTTGCTATATTTTAAACATAATTATTATACCGTTTATTGAAAAAGCAATTTGTTCGTAGTTTTACCGATTAAATTATGACTATGATATCCCAAAACATATCCGCTAGTCAAACAATCTTTTCCAAAGCTTTAATTTCACTAAACTTAGTTTTAACAGAGAAATAGTAGTTTGTGCCAGTGATCGCGAATCATTTGACTAAATATTGGACAACACTCAAAACTGATAGTTTACTTCTCTTTTTAAACGTGTCGTTATAGAGACTTGGGTTGAAATTGAGTATGTAAATCAGTAGCTCGTTTATAGTAAAGAGTATTGAATATATTAATTTAATATTTGTTTACATAAATCATTCAAATCGACTAGCTAGAATGTTTTCTCACTGGCATTAAGTAATAATTGTGAATGACCTAAGCCTAGATAGCAACGACGCTGAGGGGACCAAGCCTGTGCATACGATTTTTCTGATTTTTACTTTATTTAAAAGCTTTCAGGTGAATATTCGTGCATGTCGGGTCCGTTTGTGGTTGTTTTTTAATAATTTTTTAAGTAAAAAAAGTCAGCTTTTTCCGAACAAAATTGAATTTGGCTGATTTTGACAAATTAATAAACTTAGAAAAATTTCGTGTTCCAACTCCGGCTTGGCCCTCTCAGTGTCGTTGCTATCTAGGCTCAGGCAAATATTTACTACATTTGTGGTTGCATATTAGCATGTAGCTATTTCTTCTAATTAGAAGAAATAGTATAAATTATTGTTCTTGGAAAATCCATTGTATACATTAATACAATTATAATGAGTAAATATAGGCATAATTTTTTATATCAGTTTTACTTCAATTTACATAAAAATTTTAAATGCGCTATATAATTCCAATATAAATGAAGAATTGGTAAACTAAAATCAATAGTAAATATAAAATAACTATTACTGATATATGTAAATATGTATATATAATTAGTCATGAAAGTGTTTCAATAAAGTTTAAAAAATTGTATCGTATTTATTAAAATAAAAGTTCTTTTTATCGTGTTTCACATAAACGTACTATATTTATATAGATGCTGATAGAAAAATACATTTATAGGAAAAGTTAGCATCTAATAGAAAAGTTAATATGTGTTCATACATTTCGGGTATTAGGTTGCATTG